GAATGATGGTGGTGATTGTGACTGTGATGATGGTGATTGTGACTGTGATGATGGTGGTGTTTGTGACTGATGGTGGTGATTGTGACTGATAGTGGTGATTGTGACTGATGGTGGTGATTGTGACTGATGGTGGTCATTGTGGCTGATGATGGTAATTGTGACTGTGATGATGGTAGTGATTGTGATGGTGGTGATTGTGACTGATGGTGGTCATTGTGGCTGATGATGGTAATTGTGACTGTGATGATGGTAGTGATTGTGATGGTGGTGATTGTGACTGATGGTGGTCATTGTGGCTGATGATGGTAATTGTGACTGTGATGATGGTAGTGATTGTGATGGTGGTGATTGTGACTGATGGTGGTCATTGTGGCTGATGGTGGTAATTGTGACTGTGATGGTGGTGATTGTGAATGATGATGATGATGGTGATTGTGACTGTGATGGTGATGATGGTGGTGACTGTGATTATGGTGATTCGGGCCATGATTGTGACTGTGTTGTTCCTGTTAGCAGACAACATCACGGCTCTGAGGTTCAGCAGTGACTGCAGGCGTCTGCTCTCGTCTTCAGCTGACAGGTTTGACTCCAGCTGTTCTTCTGTTCAGCTCCTGTCATGCTGTGAATCTCACTGACCGCATCTGTTGTGTTTCAGCTGTATCTTTGTGTGGCAGCTCGCTCCTGAACTCACTATCAGTATGAGAGAGAGACTGTCTGTGATCAGACGCCGTGACAGGGCATCGAGCGTCAGGAACAATCCCTTCAGGTACAGGAGAGTTTGACATCCGCATCATGTGCATTTGACTGATTAAAGCATGTGTTTAGTTTGATTATAAATGAGTTTGTCTGTTTCAGACGTTCTTCTGTGACTGGATTCACACTGCACCGATCCACATCCATCATGACCTGCTCATCTGAGAGCGAACGAGAGGAAGAGGAAGATGATGAAGACATGAAGACAGCTGAAGAGACGGGTCAGAACACATACGCCTTTACTCTAAATAAGGACTTCTGTTGTTTTATATACAGCTACATATGAATACTATAACCTAACAGTAACACAAAACTTTCCACGTTCACAGTTTTTTTTTTTTGGAATATAATATATAAATGAGGGTGCACACAAAGACAGTTCAGATCTAGCTGACTTCTAGATACAAATTTGCCCCCCAAAATATGGTTCAGTAGATACAAACCAGAATTTTTATAGGAAAATAAAACAGAAACCATTAAAAATGTTACTTGTAATAAAATAAATAATAACTTAAATGTTACTTCAGCTAGTTTCCAATGCAACATTGTTCATTTTCATTTACTTCAACTTGATGTACTAAAATAACTAAAACTGAAATACAAATAAATAAAAACTATACAGACATACTTACATTTTTTTAAAAAGAAAACAGAGAATATAAAAGTTAAAACATAATTCCAAATACTAATTAAAATTATAATACAATTTCTGTTTTTATCAATTATATTAAACTGACTTACAAAACTTAGTTTAACTTGATGTACAAAAAAACCAAACAAATAATTAAAACTGAAATTAAATGTAAAACTATACATGCATTAAAAAGCTAATAAAAATGAGAAAAACACAAAATAAAATTACTGAAACTTTAACCAAAATTAAAATGAAAACAAAATATAAAAATAAAAACTAATTTAAAACCTAAAATCTATAATAGTATATCAATGCTACACACACACACAGACACACATGTTGGTATATGTGGTTTACGGGGACTCTCCATAGACTTAATGGTTTTTCTACTGGACAAACTGTATTTTCTATCCTCTTACCCTAAACCTGCCCCTCACACAAAACTACAGGCATTTTTACATTCTCAAAAACACAGTTTACTATGTTTTCAAGCCATTTGGTTTACAGGGACACAGGAAGTGTAAACCTCATAAACCATGTTAATGTTGTAATATCCATGTCATTACACACATTTGTGTCCTCATAAACCATATATACTAGAACACACACACACGTGTATCTCAACACCTACAGAGGTTAATGTGATGTGGAATAACGTGTCTGATCCTGTCATCTTCTCTCTTATAAAGGTGCATCTGATGAAACGCACTGGAATCCAGTGAAGGTCTGTATCTCACACTGGAGTCAGTCTTTAGCAGCTTGCTGTAAAGCTGCACGATCTGAAATGTGTTTTCATGAATGATTGAGCCATATGTGACCCTGGAGCACAAAAGCAGTCTTAAGTCGCTGGGGTATATTTGTAGCAATAGCCAACAATACATTGTATGGGTCAAAATTATACATTTTTCTTTTATGCCAAAAATCATTAGGATATTAAGTAAAGATCATGTTCCATGAAGATATTTTGTAAATTTCCTACCGTAAATATATCAAAACTTAATTTTTGATTAGTAATATGCATTGCTAAGAACTTCATTTGAACAACTTTAAAGATGATTTTCTCAATATTTAGATTTTTTTGCACCCTCAGATTCCAGATTTTCAAATAGTTGTATCTCAGCCAAATATTGTCCAATCCTAACAAACCATACATCAATGGAAAGCATATTTATTCAGTTTGAAAATGTTGAAAAATGTACACTTAAGACTGGTTTTGTGATCCAGGGTCACATATTAGGTTTGTTTGTTCTCATTGAACTCGAGAAATAAAGCCTGGTTTAGGCTCAAAACTGAACATTTCATCCAGGGTTTACCAAACTGTGCTTCATAATCATCATAATTCATAAAAATGGTAAATTAAATCATTTAAAAATAAAACATTTACTAAAAGAAAAAAATATTTGTTTAGCTGCATGTCATGTGATCATTTACCGACATCAGAGAACCATGAATGTGTTGGTAAATTATTGAAATATTACTTTAAAATCTCACGGCGACTTTCAGATCAAATGGGTCTGTTTTATGAAAACGTTTGGGAATCACTGACATGCAGGAAAAATACAAGGTTTGTGAAAGTGACAACCAAAATGTGTGATGCAACCTGAAGCCACATGACACCAGCGTTTGACGTCGATGTCTGTAGGAGGCGTCTGTAGACTCGAGTGTGTCTGCGGTGGTGTGCCGTCCTCGCAGGCGCTGGTCCTGTCGTGTGGGATCGCTGGAGCTCATGGTGAAGTCCATGCTGGAGCTGCGGCAGCTCGGTTCACTTTCTGAAGCTCCAGGCCAGAGCAGAAGCTGCGCTGATCGATGCAGCACCTCCAGCCTGCAGGTCACTATTACTTCAGCCCATTTCATTTCACTTAAGCATTTGAACTGCAGATATTTTATTGATATAATTATGTTGCACTCCATTTTGTTGTTATAATAAAACTTTATGATAGATTTATTCAAATAAACATTAAATACTGAAGAACAGGTTCAGTAAAATATCATGAAAATGTAATATAGTGCATATACAGTATGTGACCCTGGAGCACAAAACCAGTCGTAAGGGTCAATTTTCTGAAATTGAGATTTATACATCATCTGAAAGCTGAATAAATAAGCTTTCCATTGATGTATGGTTTGTTAGGATAGGACAATATTTGGCTGAGATACAACTATTTGAAAATCTGGAATCTGAGGGTGCAAAAAAATCTAAATATTGAGAAAATCATCTTTAAAGTTGTTCAAATGAAGTTCTTAGCAATGCATATTACTAATCAAAAATTAAGTTTTGATATATTTACGGTAGGAAATTTACAAAATATCTTCATGGAACATGATCTTTACTTAATATCCTAATGATTTTTGGCATAAAAGAGAAATGTATAATTTTGACCCATACAATGTATTGTTGGCTATTGCTACAAATATACCCCAGCGACTTAACACTGCTTTTGTGCTCCAGGGACACATATTGATCAAAATGCTCCTCTCTAGAGTTATTTTTTTCAGCTGACTTTCGATGTTACATGACATTATTGATCTCAAGTTGTTTTATTGACATCTTTCTGCAGTTGAATCACTGATTGATGGATTCCATGATTCATGATTGATTTCAATGTTTCTTCTGATGTTCATTCATGTTTATTTGCTGCTGTAACTAGTAGTAAAGAGGAAGAGATGATCAGCCATCTGTCACCACACATCTGAATCGGTTATTAATGTTCAGCTGAATATTTGCGGTGCTGATATTTAGTTGCGTCTCTAGTCCTTCAGGCTTCATTCGTGTGGTTCTCTGTGTTGTTCAGGATTGGAGTCTCCGGCGTCCTCGAGACTCGGCCTGGCTGGTTCCCGTCGGCGCTCCTGAACCTGAGGGTGTGGTTCTGTACCCGGATCACTGTCCCAGCACCAGCAGCCTGCCTGGACCGTCCTACCGGATACAGGCTCTGTCTGAGACCGCCGAACACGAGGAGAGAGCAGAAGAAGCCCAGAGTCCCGTCAGCGGAGCCTCCATGGGCTACGGCAGCGGAGGATCCAGTCCAGACCACCGACACCACGGTAAAACCTCACACACACGGGGGATTGGAGATAGCTAAAATTTAAAAATACATGTTTTAATTCAGCAGAATTAAAAACCTGAAAAATTACTTTTTTACTCTGAAGACTTCTTTTGAGTGTGAATGATCCTTTAATGAAAAATTTAACTTTTTTTTTTTCGCTTTTACAAGAATCAAAACAACTTGAGTTTTCATGTTCATGACTCATTCAATATGGCTATGAAATCATTTGAATTTTGAGTATTAATAAAAATATGAAGTAATATGTAATCTATAGTACTGTAAAATAGAAAAATAATATTTACTAAATAATTATAGAAAATATACTACATATATATATATATATATATA